TAGCCAGACCCCAGCCCTTCCAGCTGGCCCTGTCTATAAAGGATCCGCATTTCCTTCTGGGGGTAGGCAGGACAGCACGTTATCCCGTGAGCTCTTGCTCTCAGGAGAAAGTGAAGGGTTGTGCTTACCCTGAGCAGCTTTGGTCTTGTTGCTGCTGTTCTGCGTGTGTTTAGGCCAGTAGTGAAGACCTAGCTGGTCTGATTGCAGACCCCAGCCCTTCCAGCTGGCCCTGTCTATAAAGGATCCGCATTTCCTTCTGGGGGTAGGCAGGACAGCACGTTATCCCGTGAGCTCTTGCTCTCAGGAGAAAGTGAAGGGTTGTGCTTACCCTGAGCAGCTTTGGTCTTGTTGCTGCTGTTCTGCGTGTGTTTAGGCCAGTAGTGAAGACCTAGCTGGTCTGATTGGGTTTCTGTTCTTCACCTTCCTCAAGGATCTGAATAGGTGAAAATCAGTTTTTGGGTGTCTGATGCTGTTCATTGTTGCTAGGTCTAGTGAAGGAAGCTGCTTTGTATTTTTATGAGCAGCCCTATACACTTCCCCTCTGAATCTCTCTCCTTTCCTGCAGGTTACCGTGTACAGTAGAATGGAGCCCACGGCGTCGGGTGTGTTTTGCAGCAGGATGCTAAGTATGGTGAACTCTGAAGATGTGAACGCTATCATTTTGGCTCAGAAGAATATGTGAGTCAAGTGGAATCTGATCAACTAAAATACGATACTTTTCTGTCCAATAAATAGACAGATATCCTTCTTAACCAATAGTAATTCAGCGAAACTGGATGTCTTGCTGGGGGCTAGCATGGGATACAAACCCCCTGGTTGTGACTTCAGATATGTCCTAGGTTGCCAGTGACTGACAGTAGTTCTCTTCAGTGACTGTCAAAATTAGTTGCAAAGTCTTAGTTCAGTTCCTACTGGGCATGTGTCTGCACTGGAAAACAGAAAGTTACATATGCCACCTGTAGACCTGAGAGGTCAAGACCAAAAGAGCTGATCTCTCCAGATCATGGATGAGCTGCTTGGTTGAGGATGTTTGCATTGCCTATGCTGGTACTTTGTTAATTCTGGGAATAAATACAGGCCTTTGATCTGCAGGACTGTCAATTCAGCACTACACAGTCCTGAATTTCCTTTACAGCCCCTGAGGAGCAGCCATCCAGCAAATTTTGGGGCCATCCAGTTGATCTTCATGTCTGTTCTCCATTCTGCTGCTTCGAACGCTTTAGCTCACTTATTTTGAATTCTCCTCTTTCCCCCCTCCCTTCCAATTTCCTGACAACTTTCCTATTAGCAGACTTTGATTTTGCTAAGGTTTTGGCAGGATAGAATTTTGCATGCAGAGTTCTTGGGGGCAGGACTTTAATCACTTCAAAAGCTTTTCAAGGACGGGAAAGGAAGGATCTGTTTTCTTTCTGACACTTGTGGGTTTTGTTTGTGTTCTGAGAATTGTGAAGAGCCTTGCCTGTTGTTCTTTATTTTTGGAAATTGACACATTTCCCCACATCTCTCCCTCTCTCTAGGCTCGATAGATTTGAGAAAACCAACGAGATGCTGCTCAACTTTAATAACCTGTCCAGTGTACGCATGCAGCAGATGAATGAAAGGTTCCTGCATCACACTAGGACACTGGTGGAAATGAAGAAAGATCTAGATAGTATCTTTCGAAGAATCAGGTGAGCTCTAGATTCACCATCTGGGATTTTGTGTGTCTCTGTAGTGCCTCCTGTTGGATGATAAAGGAAGGGTCCCGAGAGGTTTCAAATACAGGCAGTCCCCGGGTTACGTACAAGATAGGGTCTGTAGGTTTGTTCTTAAGTTGAATCTGTATGTAAGTCGGAACTGGCGTCAGCCACTGCTGAAACTGATCAGTTTCAACCGCGGCTGATTCACCATCTGGGATTTTGTGTGTCTCTGTAGTGCCTCCTGTTGGATGATAAAGGAAGGGTCCCGAGAGGTTTCAAATACAGGCAGTCCCCGGGTTACGTACAAGATAGGGTCTGTAGGTTTGTTCTTAAGTTGAATCTGTATGTAAGTCGGAACTGGCGTCAGCCACTGCTGAAACTGATCAGTTTCAACCGCGGCTGAATATGGATGCCAGTTCTGACTTACATACAGATTCAACTTAAGAACCCCAGGCATCCCCAAGTCAGCTGCTGCTGAAACTGATCAGCGGCCGA